AGAAATTTCTGTTTTACAATCGTTTTGGACTTATGAGAAGTGATTTTGCTTGACTCCCTGGAGCAGGCGTACATGTTGTATAATAATGGTTGGTTTGCCATGTCTTCGTGATCGGGCAGTGAGCGCTCTGGGAGGCTGTCCCTCTCTCTGTCACCACACACTGCCTGGTCCAAGGCCGACCATTTGATGAGTATCCCTGAATGAACAATGACAGCCAAAACAGCTTTGATTACTTCTCTTGTCTCTTTTCATATATATTTCACTTTGTTATTTCTCCTATCTAGATCAAGGGGTGGACATTGTCACGAAGGATACATCCTCATCAGTGGTAATTGTAACATAATCAACTATTTGATTTCAAAAGAAACCATTTCACTAATAAACACATTAATTTAAATCATGCCTCTTAACAAGATGACCTCTCAGTTCAGAAACTCAAAAATGTAACCCATTTGGGCTCTCCACCAGCATGCAGTGATTTGGGCTAGAAAGTATGTGGTACTCAGAATGCCATCCTCTCAGATCCTTGTTTGAGCAGTAAACACATTTTAAAAACACATCGTGTTGTCTCTAAAAATAAGCGATATTTTAAAATGAAAACCAGTGCAAAAAAAGTTGGCACATCTGGTAGTTAGAAAAGTTGTACGGTTTGTTTGTAGAGAACGACAAGCCAAGGAACATTCAGACTTGGCCAATTGCAAACTTCTCTTCTATCTGTGATGACACCTGGTTTAGAAAAAAATTGGCTGCAGGCTTAAAGCAGAAAGAACATTGGAAACGGGCAGAGAATTAAACACCATCATTTACTATCTTGTTTTGTGCAAGGAATTATAAAGAACCGTTTTCTTTTTACTTTAAGAAAAGAATGGAACAAACAAGTAAAGGCAAGCGTGAAACAACATAGCAGTAAAAGTCGCATCTGTTGAATACCTACTGTGTGCTAGACAATGTGTTGAGTCCATTAGATTTGTTGTTGATACTAGGTGCACAGAAACCGTATGAGGTGGTGATGTTTTTCTTCCTGTTTCACAGATAATAGACAGAGAAATAAGGCACAAAAATTCCAGTAACTTGCCCAAGTCACACAGCTAGCCTATCCCAGACAGGCAGTCTCCATGGTCCACACTCCAAAGCACTGCAGAAACCTGAAGGTGTTCATTATGCCTGGCATTTTGAAAAAGAATTAGGAATGAGATTGTTATATTGAGGACAGTGGCTCTTGGTCAGACAGCTGCTTGCCTCACTTGTGAGACAGCTGATGCCATTTTCCAGAACATTCTCGTGGTTGCATATAAATATTATGTGTTCCTAAGAAATTCACCACTCATCCTCCTGCTTCAAGGCTGTCATCTTTGATGCTTGTCAGAAGCTGTCACTCTTCTATGGTTCGAAGATGTTAAAGGTGTATGAGTGAATTTAAAAATAGAAAGAGGTAAAGTAAAAATGATGAATATATCGGGTAGGGAAAGACTAATATTTCATTATTATAGAAAAAATCTAATTATAATAATCCTGAGTAGAGGATTATATAGGTTTTCCTGACCAGTATAAAATGTGTTTTCTACTAGCTTTACCTTCCACTCAACCTAACAACCTAGTAAGCATATCATGGAGAGACATCAGTAATTTGATGCAGTCAGAGACTTTTTTAAGTGACATTGTGTTTTTAAAATTTTTTGTTTATTTGATACACAGTCTTGCTACAGAGCTCAGACTCATAGTGATCCTCCTGTCTCAGCCTCCCCAGTGCTGGGATTATAGGCCTGCACCACGATGCCCAGTCTGCGGGCCTGTACGGCATGCTTAGTGTTCTAGGGTCAGCACAGCATGTGGTTCCTGGGATTGAACTCGGGTCGTTGCACTTGCCGGGCAGTTGCTTAGACTGCTGAGATATCTCCCCAGCCCGAAATTGTGTTTTTAGAAGAGAATCAGACCTCCATGTTGGTCAGTTGTTAATATTCACTATAACTTTCAAAATTTTTTCACTCCTTTTTTTTTAAATGTATTTAGTACAGTCTCACTATGTAGATTGGACTCGCCATCTCAGCATGCCCTGGGAGTGGGACTGGCAAGGCAAGCAGGGGATCGAACCCTGTCCCTGCGCCTGCCTAAGCAGGTGCTTTAGTTCGCTGAGCTATCTGGTCAGCCCTTCATTCTTAAGTTTATTGGGCAGTGTTTGCTGTGTACTAATAGGCCGAGGGTTGAGTGGGTAAGGATGAAGAGATTCTCAAAAACTTTGTCTTTAAAAAGCAATAAAGTATAAGGGCACTCTGAGACAGTGATTGAGACTGGGTGTGGTGGCACATGCCTGTAATCCCAGCACTTGGGAGTCTGAAAACAGGAGGATCACTAGAACTCTGATCTACGTAGTGAAACCCTGTAGACCTTGTCTTAAATACAGAAAAAAAAAAAAAAACAGTAAAGTATAAAAAGTCATATATGATAGGCAGGTGAACAGTTAAGTTCTCTGTCACTTTCCTTGTGCCAAGGCAGCTGTGTTACAGAAATGAAAGTAAGAATTTGTCACATTCACCCAGTGGGCCATGAGGAAGGGAGGCCTTAGAGGAGGAAACCTTTGATTGAGTAAAGACTTTAGAGATACAGAGCTGCTCATTAGGCCAATAAGTCAGGTCAAGGGTGAAGAGCATGAACAAGACAAGGATGAAAATAACATTTTCAGTGATCATATAGGTATTTATCAATTCACAGGCACATTTTCTTCTATCACCCTCAGAAACTGGACACCATGCTAAGTTCAATTAGTTGTTCATGTTCTTACATAACATAAGAGTATTCCTCACAGTATGTGGCATTTTAAGGTTGAATAATTTTTTTAAATTAATTGTATTGAGAAAGAAATAGCAATGAGACAGTTTCAAAACAGGTTAGTAAGACAGTTATAATAATTAATACATTGCATATTGTTGTCTTCATAGTAGTTCTTCGTACTACAAGATGCAGACATGATAACTTGTCTAAACACTATTAGTACAAGTCTTTCTTCTCATTAAATTAAGAGAAAGTAGCTGTATATCTATCCTATTTTGTATATACAGTTGTATGTCTTTCTTTGTGGTCAGGTAGTATTTCTTGGGTGTGGTCTTTTGGCTGCTGTTGTCTTTGTTTACGGGGAGATGGATATTAACACTTTTTTTAAAGAGAAGAAACAGGCATGAAATGTTTGAATTCTTTGTATGAATAAAGGCATTCTGTTTGATGGGATACTTGACATATCTGATGTTGCTGTTAGTACCAGTAGCTAGTAATAATGGAACCTGGGGAGACCATTCAGGTGTCCTATGTACTGGTCTAGGTTCTGAGCCATCATGTTGCTTTTTTCTAAATTGAAAGGAAAGTTTGAAATGCAAATGAATTGGGGTTTATAAAGATAATTCATTTATGATGCATGGTACAGAACTATATCCACTGCCCATGGCGTCAAGATGAACACAGTGTTTTCTGAGTTGTGAAAACAGAATATCGATGCCTAATCATTGAAAACACTGGAAGATGGGTCAGGCTGTGGCTGAGGTTCTGGTTAGTATATTTAAAAAAAGAAAATAAACAGTTTCCATTGCAACTAATGTTCTTACTAAGTGCCTATAGAATAGCTAAGCATCCTAGACCCCAGCTTAAGCACTTACTCATATCAGCTTCTGCTATCATTAAATCCTTGTGTGGCAGTGGACTAGTTGATTGCCACATGGATTTTCTGGAAAGCTGGACTAACACAGGGCTCCTGCCAGCTCCTGAGACTGTGATTCTACCAGCATTTTTGAAATGTGGTTGTATTGATGGGTACGTGATGACACTCCATTGCCTTGTTTGTCCTTTGGTTTTAGGGATTCATGGGAGAAAATGTTAGAAAACAGGTGAAGGCATGTTTTAGTTGTTGATTTAATTTTGGGGGTCATAAAAAAGGAAATGTTGCCCATTAACGCTAAAGAAATTATAGTTTTTATGTAGTTACTGTGTAGACAGTAGACAGTATACTGCCTACCTGTGTTGCTCCTAAATGTGTCAATAAAAAAGATAAGAAATTGAGTGAGAAAAGTTTAGAGCCTAGTGTGTAAAAAATTGACATCATATTTATTTGTATTTTTTACAAGAGGGAATAGAGTGTAGTTATTGATACTTGACCAGGTAGTTGACAAAAAGTATTTGAAAAGCACATCTTTGTATACAGAATGTCTAGAATGACTCAATTATTATTATTATTTTTGGTAAACAAGTCTTGGTTGTATTTGCTTTTTTTCCTTTTCACTTTTCCATAGTGACAGATTTCTTTTCCCTTTGGGTATGTACCAAATTTTTCTATACTGGCGGCTTTTAACTAATGAAAAATGAATATTTGTGTCAAATTTAATCACAATTGCTTTTCAAAGAAGTATTTTCTGATTTTCTCATTCTGATTTTTTTTAAATGGGGTATAATTTCAATGCCAATGCTCTGGGATGAAGACTAAAAAAATCAAATTTGGAAAGACACAACCAGATTACATCCTTTAAAGAGGCTTTTTGGAAGTCCAGGTTTGGAATGAAATAAACCAGTTAAACAGGTTTTTTCAGCAGTGTCAACTTTCCTTGTTGGATGATTCAAGATGTCAGCTATTCTAGGGAAAAACAAAACAAAAAAACAAAACAAAACAAAAAAAAAAACTCTGTTTGATACAGCTAATTTTATTTACTTGTCACCTTAGCCATGTCAGTAAGGATATTATATGACTCTCAGTATAATTCTCAGAATACAATTCTCCCATGGAAGGCGTAAAATTTAACCACATTGTGAATGAGTGGCGATTACGGAAGAATTTCTATTGTAGCACTGTGGCTTTTTCAATGAAATTAGGGAAAGCTCTTTTTGGTATTGTCAATACTAAAAAAAGAAAGAAGATCCAAGGACTGTCTCTAAAGATGGGTCCTGATGTGTGTGCACATATGTGTGTTTACTGATTGCTGATGTAAGGGACATGAAAGCTAACCTGATTCATTTGTTTTTAGGGGCTCTTGGCTTTGGGCCTCAGTGCAAGTCCATTGGAAAAGGCAGCTGCAACAATCTAGTGGTCACCAGCAGTCCCATGATGGTTCAGCGACTGGGACCCATTTCACCTCCAGCAAGCCAGGTCTCTACAGCATGCAACCAGATCAGTCCTAGCTTACAGAGGGCAATGAATGCAGCCAACCTGAATATACCTCCTTCAGATACCAGGTCTCAAGTTACTTTTTATTCCCCCCTTCTTTATGGTATAATCACACCCTATGAGTGTTCTCCTTTCTCTTCCTGAACAGGCACACACACTCACACTTACATACATATATACATTCATATATTCTTATTCTCATTCTCCTCTCTCTCGCTCTCTCTCTCTCCCTCCCTCCCTCCCTTCCTCCCTCCCTTCCTCCCTCCCTTCCATCCTCCCTTCCTCCCTCACTCAACTTTTCCAAAGGGAATGTGTCTAAAAACTAAGTGTGTGCTATCCTATCCTCTTAACTGAAAAGAATGGTTTGATACCTGCTGTCTTGTACTGTGAGTGAAGTAAATGCCCAGTTTGAGATTCTGGACATTCTGTAAATTTGTAATTTCCTGATGAAGCAGGTCATGCCTGTCACACACCTATCCTGCCTGCTAGGTTGTCAGTATCTACACTGTAGAGTGTCTAGGCTCCTTTCAAACTGGTTTGTAAATCCGTCCTTCTATCCATACACCCATTTACTCAAGTATGTATTGAACACCAACTATCTGCATAGTCCAGTAGTCATAAATTTAGGGTACTTAAACCACATACCAGGTATGGTCTTTTGCATGGGTTGACCATAGAGGGGTTAACATCTGTTTTCTTTTCCTTTTTTTTTTTTTTTTTTTTTGCATATTTGATTCCTTACCATAATTTCATATCCTTAAGGCTAGGATTAGTAGGGAGAATAAAGGCAGAAATCATGAATTTTAAGACTTTATGATATGTCTGGAAAGACATATTTTATGTCTAAGTTATACAACATTTCGACACAATGTCTGATTAGGTGGCAGAATAAGTAGGTAGAATAAATGCCATGCAGCCAGCTCCATTGGGAAGAATTGAATAGGAGAGAGAAATCACTTCCTCCGATACATTTTTCACTTTCTCACGGCTGATGTGGAGAGGGGATAAAACTCCCCAAAATACTATACAATATTTAAAGTCTATTTCTCTTAGAAGTTAATTATTTCATTTTCCAGGAGTTATTGTCTTAGAAAAATATAATAGAATTTTTTGTGTGTCTGAGTCCTGGTTCTGCTGTAACTGTGATCTGACAAAGGAGTTGTACTCTCTGGGTCTCAGCTTCCTCTTCTGGGGGCTGTCGCCTACTAAAGAACCTTGCAATTGCAAGACCCTGTTGCTTCCCCCTTGTTTGCCTCCTGCCCCTCTTTTCCTTTCTTGCCTTCCTGCACTATCCTCCCAGCTGCCATTTGAGACTCTGAAATCATAGTTCCTGGATCATTTATTTATGCCAATTTTTTCATGAGGTGGAAACTTGTTTTTCAGCTGAGACTTTTTGTGATGGGAAGCTGCTGTCATTTTCTCATTGATGATTTTGCCTTGAGGGACTCCTCAGACTTGCTGAGTGCTGCATGTAAAATTAACTGTGCTCCTGGGTGGGTGTCACTGGAAAGCCTTCAGCTTCCTGTCTGTGGCAAGTCCAGCCCATGCCTTGCAGGCAGAGGCATAATTAATGGAGAAGCTGATGGTAGGCGGAACACAGGCTGCTTAAGCCATGTACCTCATGCAGTCCCTTTCAAGGGTCAGCCAGACAGGGGTCATTAGCTCAGTGTTTTCTGGCATATTTGCTTCCTTAGCATAATTTTATATCCTTAAAAGACAAAACCTTAAAAAATACACTGACAAGTGTTTCTGACTCTGCATTCTGTGAGCCCTTCTATGGGAAATTTTTTTTTGCAAACTAAACAAAAGAAAAAAAGGAGTTAAGGAGTGGCCTGGTGAAGGGTGGAACCTACTTTCCGCCATGTGGAAAGAGTGCATATTATTTGAAATCTTCAAATTGGTTGGTGCGTTCCATCCGAGGAGAGGCAGAGTCCACCTTGAAGACGTTCAGCAGTCTAGAGACGCAGAGAGTAGTGAAAGAACCAGCATAGTTTTATCTGTCAGGCCTGCTCAGGGTAGATGACAGCAGGAGAAGACACGAATGCTTCGTCTAAGATGTCTGACTTAGGAAAAGCTGAAAACTTAACTTGTGGGCTTTTTTTTTTTTTATTACATATGTAATTCTTATATACTGCAGAAAATGAGGACGATATGGAAAGACATTAGGCAGTAAATGGCAGTCTTCCTGAGTTCTGTCACCCAGACAAGCCATAAGTGGAATTTGATGTACGTTTATCCAGTTATATGCAAACCCATATCTGATAAGCATTTATTGTCCACTAAATGGAACTATTAGTGACACAGTTATTACTTTGTTCAGTTTATGTATTATAAGCTCTTGTAATAAAAATCAGCAGCAGCTTCCCATAACAGTTTCTTCCATCTCCCCAGTTTCATCTTACAAAGATAGTGTATAAATAAAATTGTAATTCTTATCAGGACTGGGGATACAGCTCAGTGGCATAAGCACCTGCCTGGCAAGTGCAAGACCTGAGGTCTATCCCTGGTACCAAAAATCAATAAATAAAATAAAATAAAAAATAGAATAAAATGAAATTGCAATTCTTCTCAGTTTTTTATTACTGAGCATTTTGTTATTTTCTCCTATTTTTTTAAAATAGTACTTTATTGTATAAACTTGTTTAAATCTTTCATTGCACATTTCTGGTTAGAGAAATAAATTCTTAGAAGTAGAATTTGCAGAGTTAAACCAAAGGTACAGTTTATTTTCTTCTTCTTTTGGCGGTACATGGGATGCTCTATCTCTGTGCTAAATGCCCAACCCTACTTAAGTATGAATTTCTATATTACTAAATTGCTCAGGCTAGCCTAAAACTTGTGATACTTCTGCCTCAGCTTTCCAAGTAGCTGGGATTAGAGCACACGCCAGTGGGCCTAGCAGAAATGTATCATTTGATGGTCTAAAATAGTGCTGCTCAAAAGACTTGATTGCTTATAGGTTCACCAATAGTCCAGGAGATTGCTTGTTTTTCCAGACTATATCAGTATTAAATATTACTATTTTTATGTGTGGAAAATTTGAGATATAAAATATCTTACATTAATATGTACTTTTAAATTATTGATAGTGAATAGTTTTATGAATTTATTGTCAGCATTTTTCTTTTGAATTTATTTGAGCATATTTAGCTCATTTTTTCTTTCTTTATTTTTTTTGGTGGAATCAGGGATTGAACTCAGGCCCTTGTGCTTGCCAAGCAAGTGTTTATTCATCTGAGCTATCTCCCCAACCCCCATATTTAGCTCTTGGGATGCTCATTTTGTAAAAAGTGCTTGCTTCTTTCTTGCCTCTGTTAGAATCTGTTTTTTTATGCTGTGTATTTGCTTTGATTAATTTCCCAAACAGTTTTGACTAGCTGGCCTTAGTGATAAACGTGAACTTTATCTTATTATCTTGAAGACACAGCAGCAAGTCTCAGTTCAAGCGTCTGTAAAACTGTGTATCACAGAACCCATCTCGTACAATTTTCCTAGAATGACAATGCTGAGGTACTGATACAGTAACTCTGTGTATTGGTTTCAGGTCATAGTCTAGCAGACATTGGGTGGAAGAAATGCTATGCTACTTTTTAAAGCTACATAGTTTTTAGTTTTTTCCAGTCATTGCAATTCCGCATTTTATGACTAAATGCTCATACGTACTGCACATATTATACTAATTGAAGATGTAATGAGCCAAGACACAGAAAGTCTAGATGATTTGTCCAGTATCACTAGCTTGTCAGTCAACAAGTTTGCCCGTGACCTAATAATGTCATCCTATATCCAAAAAGGCACCTCATGTGATTTATCTTCTAAACCAGAAATTTGGAGGCCACTGTCCTTTTGTTTGTTGTATGTCCATAAAGCTCAGAGGAGGCCAAGGGCTCTAAGGATGACTTTGCGCTCTTCCTGAGTTCTCCCATTTTAAAAATCCATTCTGTGTTCACAGGGAATACTACTTGTTCTGGGAGATTTGCTGAAGTATGAACATAAAAACTTCCAGATAGAGTAGGATTGGTTTACTATTCCATGATCTATGTATATGTCACACACACACACACACACACACACACACACACACACACGACAGTATGAGGACTCCACCTGATTTTTAAGCTAGAACTTTGAACCTTGGCAGTGAGCCAAACAGTTCAACCTGATAAGCCCACCTCAGGCTTCCTGAGGTTGGAGGTCTTCCTTCACCAGAGACCCTAATCATTTTTGCTGTTGATTTCTAATTGTTGTTTCCATATTGGTTGTATTTTGTTTGAGATATATCTTGTCCCCTTTCACATATAGTTCCAAATAAAGCAGTCCCTAGAAATGCTATCCTTGGGATCTGTTGAACATATGGACATAGAGCTGGCTCTCAGTATGGTGACACAGTTTTCTGGTCTGTTTGTCACTTTCTTCCCCAAGGCCCTGGTACGTGCAGTGGCGGGAATTATAGGCGAGAATCCTTAGCAACCTTCACCTTCATCCAACGAATTATTCCAGAAAGAACTGAAACTTGGTGCTCCAGCCATACTGTTGTGACATTAAGCCTGCTGTAGCAAGCCTTTCAGTCTGACAGAGTAGTTTAGACCACATGTGGGGTACCCTGTGAGGACCACAGCAGAGAATGCGTGGATTCAGCCAGTCTTTGCCTATTAGACAGCTTCATTGTACTGCACTGTCTCTTGCCACTCCTGCCTCCCTTTTGGTGTTACTGGGAGGAATTTCACAGAACCTTACTTTTATTCTTTGTATAGTAGAGGTTGTTAAAGAACTTACCTCACGTGCTGTACCAAATAATATATAGGGAAAATGCTTCTTGAGCTATAAACAATGCGTAATTATCATTCCGATGATTATTCACTTTATTAATAATAATCAGAATCTTTTTTTTGAGGACTTGGTAGCTACTGGGGAGATAAAAAAATCATCCCTTCTGCTAAAACGCTTTGAATTTTATTGAAGACGATCCCACAGCTGCTGCAAGGTGTGAGGCAGCCACTATATAACTGTTTTAGAAAGAGGATTCTTACTGAGAGGTAGTGTACTGGGGAGAGATTTCATGCCTTAGGACTCTGAAAGATTAAATGGTTTGGGTAATTGCATAGGCGGAAGACTGGCTGCTTCTAGGAAAAGGCCACTTGTTGGAAGTATTATTAAATGTTTGGGGTCGAAAAAAGGGCCAAAGAGAGGGGAGGAAGGGGGAAGGGAAGGAGAGAAATCTATTGATAGTATTGCTTTAATGACAGAGTATGGAATTTACTCTTTGAAAAATAAATAATAGTTTTAGAAAACGGAGATGTCCAAGGAATAAACCAATGTACCTGCGTGGATTTATGCGCAGATGTAAATAGAGCCACAGTTGGGTGTAATTTGAGAGGAATGAGAGTCATCTCTCAGCAGTGGAACAATGAACAGGTCTCACTGTAGGCTGCCCAATTTCTCAGTCCAAGTTAAATATTGTGTCTGTTAGTCATTGCTTAAAAGTCTGCAATGTTCTGAATTGACAATGATAGGCAAATGCTTTCCTGAGAGTGGGCATCCACTCAGGACCGTAGCTCTGACAAAGCTCTGTGTCTTTTTATTTTATAAACCTTCTTGACCACGAGGTTTAAAGCAAAGTCCATTTTCTCTGCTTCATATAGGACACAGTTAACTTATTTAGCTTGGGTCTGAAAGCAGTTCCTAAATCTCACTGGGGAAGGGCCTAAAAGGTCCCCGACATCCAGTCATCAGGTACCTTCTGCTGAACACTGCGGGAAAGGCCCACGCTCTGAGTGTGCTATAAAAATAATTGAGAAATGTCCACAGGGAATGAAAAAAGAGCAGGTGGTTTAGAAACCACTCCAGGGCTTGCTTGTGAAGGACCTCAGCCCAAGTGTAAGGATGTGGACCACAAAAAAAAATCTGTGTCAGGGGCAACTAGACATCAATTCCGGCTGTGTTTGTCATTGGTAAACATTACATCACCCGGTGGTCACATCAGGCCAGTCAGTGTTACACCATATTCTGTGCATTTCAGAGCTGAGATGTTTTCTTGCAACTGTGCTATTCCTCTTGTTCATTTTGTGAAGTGGCGCAGAGGGATGGAAGCATGGAAACGCCTTTCTCCTCAGCTCCTCTGCAGTGGGTTGATGATCAACAGCTGGACATAGTAGACATGTTCACCTTGGGAAGCCACACATCTGATAACATTTTGTTGTGATTAATTTTTGATCTAAGAAAGATACCTTGAGCAAGCCAGGATGGGCATACATGAAAAAGACAAGCTTTTTTGCTATATGTTGTATTTGATTCGGAGAATACAGTGCATATTCTGCATGTCTTGCCTCCTTGTATGTTCTGTCCGAGAGATGTAACTTTTCTCTTTAATTCCTTTTAAGGCAACAATGTCATAATAAAGCAAAATGAATGTTAAAAGAGTCACAGCTATGTTATGAACCATTTTGATATGCAGACAATATATTGTGACACACAAAGTGTGTTTGGTAAAGAGTAAGAACTGGAAAGGAAGTATTGCAAAAGTGAACTACTAGCAAGTGGGATTAAACCTTCCATGGTCCTACCACATAATTCTGAATATAACTTGATTTCAGTTTGTTACTCCCTTATATATTACAGCTATATGTTATTCAAAAAATCAGGGGGCTTGAACTCAGGACCACTTGTGTGCCAAGCATGGGCTCTGCTGCTGCACTATGCTCCCAGTCCATTTTTTTCTTCATTTAGTGGCATGCTTGGGTGTTGTGACTGAGTAGTGACAATATAAATTGCTTTTAAAAACTCATATGAATTTGTTAAAAGTCATGAAAATACCTTGTGAAATTACTAAGTCCCTTGGGTAACCATTTGACTTGGAGGCTTGAGGTGTTTTTCCAGTCAAGCATGGGTGTGTATGTTACAACCTGAAAGAGATTGTACTTGAAGACGGGACTGTCTTGTGCCTAAGCTCGTAGGGATCGAAGGGCCTGCAGCACATGCTTCACACACTGGGTGCTTACCAAATATTTGCTTATTGGGGTTGCAGTGACAAGCATCAGTGCTTTTGTCCCAGGTCTTTAATTTTTTTCCTGTACATTAAAAAAGATTTAAAACTAGAACAAGGACTATTTATTATTAAAATGCTAACATTACTTGTAACAATAAACCTTTTGTTTCATTATTTCAGTAAGTATGAGCTTTTATTGTTCTTCTTGGTAAAATGTATTTACCTGAAACTGAAAGTCTTGGATTTTATTGTAGACCAAGAATGTGTTTAGCTGAGAATGTAATTAGGAGAAGTACTTAAAAAGTTTTGTCAATGCGGTGTTCTTGCAGTTCTTAAGCAATGCATATCCCGCTAAAATGTTCTTTTCTTTCTTCCCTTCTGGCTGCCCTTCCAGGTCCCTTATTTCCCGGGAGTCTCTGGCATCCACGACTTTGAGTCTGACAGAGAGCCAGTCGGCCTTGAGTGTGAAGCAAGAGTGGTCTCAGGGCTACAAAGCTCTCCCTTTGCTTTCTTCCACCCACGGCTCGCAGAATGTCGCGGATCTAGGGGACCTCCTTAGCCTTCCTCCGGGGACGCCCATGTCCAGCAATAGCATCTCGAATACCTTACCACCCTACCTTTTTGGCATGGAAAATAGCCACTCTTCTTCCTACCCTAGCCCCCGGCACTCATCCACCAGGTCACACTCGACCCGCTCTAAGAAGAGAGCACTGTCCTTGTCCCCGCTGTCCGATGGCATCGGGATAGACTTCAATACCATCATCCGCACCTCACCCACGTCTTTGGTCGCTTACATCAACGGGTCAAGGGCGTCCCCAGCCAACATGTCCCCGCAGCCAGAGGTGTACGGGCATTTTCTGGGTGTGCGTGGCAGCTGCATCCCCCAGCCCTGCGCGGTGCCCGGTGGGCAGAAGGGCATGCTGGTGGCTGGCGCGGGCCTGGCGCTGCCAGCCTACGGCGAGGATGGTGCGCTGGAGTGCGAGCGCATGCAACAGCTGGAGCACTGCGGCCTGCAGCCGGGGCAGGTGAACAACATGGTGGTGCAGCACGGGCTGCCGGGCCCCGAAGGCCAGCCGACCAGCATGCTCAAGACCGAGCGCCTGGAAGAGTTCCCAGACAGCGCCATGGACCTGCCTTCCGCGCCCCCTCTCCCGCCTCTGCCGCCCCAGGGCCCGCCCCCTCCCTATCACTCCCACCCACGCCTTCACCACCCAGAGCTTGTGGCCCATGCCCAGCCCCTGGCCCTGCCCCGGGCCAGCGTGAATGAAGAAGGGGAGATGGACGACGTCGGGGGCAAGCACTGCTGCCGTTGGATAGACTGCAGCGCCTTGTACGACCAGCAGGAGGAACTGGTGCGGCACATCGAGAAGGCGCACATAGACCAGCGCAAGGGAGAGGACTTCACTTGCTTCTGGGCTGGCTGTCCTCGAAGGTATAAACCCTTCAACGCCCGCTATAAACTGCTGATCCACATGAGAGTCCACTCTGGGGAGAAGCCCAACAAGTGTACGGTGAGTTTCTGAAGCCCGTTGGCGATCTTTCTTGAAGGCCCAGCTCCCCTTTCTCATGCTTGTATTTCTCCAAACTTGGCACTCGGGCCGGAGTGGTTTCTTGTGGAGTTCACGCGTTAAGGTAGTCCTGAGCTTGGGCATCTCTGCAGCTCCAGGAAGGGAAAGGTTGCTTCAGTGATTGACAGCTGCTGATTTCTCTCCATTTCTAAATTTTCTCCTGCAAAGGCACAAGATAGCCACCACATTAGGAGAAGCCACAAACACACACACACACACACACACACACACACGCATGCACACACGCACAGAGTCCAAAATCTTGGGAAATATCTGCTGGACACAAACTTAGAGTTGCCATGGATAGGCAGGAGCAGAGGAACAACACATTGCAGCACCCCCAATTTGTATTTTCCCAAACAAATACACTGTCTTTTCTTTCTTCCCAATAACTGGGTGAGAATTAAGGTGGGGGAGGGGTGATTCTGATATTTAGGCGAGGAAATCACCACTTACCATCTTGGCTAGTACAAATGTTGCCACATGCACCCTTCCACCTGCACACCGCACCTTCCAGGGCTGGGGGCTAGTTAATGATTTGTAGTCAGCTTGAAAGCAGCAGAGAACACCACAGACTCTCAGCTAATGTTAGGGAGAAGGAATTTTATGGGATGGTACAAAGAGAAAGAAGGGACTACGTCTTTGGTCTTGAAAGGAATGGGCCTATCTCTTTCTCCTTCCCTCTTTCCCAACATTAATCCTGGAACACTTTTTTTCTTGGAAAAATTTGCTATATTTGAATCTTGCAATTCTTAAATGATTTCACAACAGTTTCACACCTTACTGCAACTCTCAGGGTTTACCAGCAAGCCATCACCCTGGGGATGGCTTCGCACCATCTCAGACAGCTTACTTAATTCTTGAAGAAGAGCATGTGTTTTGTATTAGTTTAGGTGCGCAGAAATATTTCTTTAGAGTTAAAATGTAACAATTCTGTTTACTCCTTGGATAGTGGCTATACTGGATATTCCTAAATATGTGAAATATCTAAATCACTCTGAAGTGGAATTTATTTGGGCCATGTTCCCCAACTGGAGTTCCTTTTTTCCATAGTATATCATGATATAAAGAATCTGGACCATGTTTGTGTTTGATGGTAGATTGGCCAAGCTGTCTAATTCATGTGAAAAAACAAACCAAAGAGGTGATAGTTGTAATGTCAGTATTCAGAGCACTTTTTTCACTGTTCAGTAGTTACTTTGTGAGTTTTAAAAATTCCTGGTAGAATGGAATTGCATTTTTTGTTGTTACATTATGCCCTGTGTTGTGATTTTTTTGCTTAAGAAAAACCTGAAGCTATGAGAATGCCAGGTTCTAGGAGTGAAAAGAATAATTACATTTCAGGAGGCAAAACCTTACTCTGTCAGTAGGGTTCTGCATTAAAAATTTCAGAAAGAGACAAGCAACTGATGGCAATTTCATTCACCATGTCTGGAACACACCAGCCTGCTGCAGAAGAAAGAGACTGTCTCTGAAAGAAAACAGTCCAACCTTTCAATTATGACTAATCCTGGCTGAAAGTAGTTTACTGGATTTGACTTTACTGAAATAAACATAAAAGCTCAAATTATCGAACAAGTGATTTTTGGTTTGCAAAATTAATTTTTATGCAATAGGATTCCCCCGTTTTCTCATTGCCACCAGACTTTTCAAAGATATATAACTTTATGAAGTTGACTTTTACTAAAATATAAAATGGGTATTAAAAATAGACATAATTGAATATAAGTTGTGAAGTACATATTTGTAGACCTCTGCAGAGCTCTTTGTTGTACTGCTCATGGTGAGTACAGGAGGTAATTTTTCTCTGCTAATCTGCCTACTCCCTGCTTATAGATGGAATCTTCGCAAAATTTGGATTGCTAATGTACTAGATGTATATTGCTAATGTAATAGAGTATCACATGGTGCAAACATGTTTATACAAAGCAGGGTTTCTTAGGAGACAACAAATGCTGTGTCTAGTCTGGGGATTTTTAACAGGAAGATACCCATTTCCATGTAAGCATGCTTACTGTGGACCATGGACCTATATCTTCAGAGGATCATGCTGTTCTCATGTCATCTGCTTGGTTCATTGCATTATATCCAACTGGAGAAAATACTTCTTTGGTGAAGGTGTAGGTGTCCTTTCAAGTTGTAGACTGTAGATAAAAGACATTCACTTAAAGTGGCTGCACACTTGGGAAAAATGCATTTTTCTGCCTTTTGCAAAAATGAATCTTTATATTCTTGGAGTCTGGACACAAAGTATTTCCAGCACTGAAGTGTTTCACTGTTCTGAAGTTTGTTAATTCAAAGCTAAAGAACCCCATGAAGTAAAATCACCACATTCTTCTTGTAGACAAGTGATCTTTGGGTTTTTGTGACTAGGTCACATGTTGCAAAGAATCAGAACAGTTTACATATTAAGGCTCAATCTATTTTTCTTTTATATTCAGCTGCTATTAATTTCCGTGTGTGATATGGCTATCCATCACTTTACTCACTTGGCTTATTGACCCAAGAAAGGAATGATGACCCTTTGTGTTTGGTGACTATGACTACAGGAAGCGCAAAGAGCTTCTGGAAGTTATAGTGAAAGGAGTGTGTCACCCAGGGCTACAGTCTGCTTACAGTAAGAGACTACCACGGGTGTCCTCCCTTTGAGCCAAATTTCCCCTTTAGCATGGGAGAATGCGTTTTTGGAATCTTTGATCACATCTCCCGGCCTTACCCCAGAGTCCTGGGATTCAGATTACGCAGTATTCTAAGTGGCATAACCAGAGATGGATTGTGTAATATTTGGTTCAGTTGCTGGAAGAAGAAGACGGGTTCTCTTTCTTTTCCCACCCAGTCACCCTACCTTTCTGTAGATCTTGTTCCGACTGCTGCTTTAGAACATCAAACCAACTGTTCTTTTTGTAGATGTCCCACTGTGACCAAGAGATTCTGAGCCAATGGCCAAAGCCTTGAAAAATAAAGGCTTCAGCAGACAGAGAAGAGGCCTCTCCTGAATCAGGAACTGGGCTATGGCAATGTGATATTTTAAAAAACTCTTAAATTTACTTGCTGCAGTGGACTACCTAAAGCAATTTCTAAGTGCCAAGTCACTCTTGTTTCGAACTTTCTGAGCTTAAGCCAATCCCTAACCTTGGTAACTCTTAAAAGTTATCCAAGTTATCATGCATTCCCGAGTATAGCTATGTGGGATTCTGTTAAATTTTTCTGAGATGAGAAGGTTCCAGATTCTCAAGTCAGAACAAGTCATGAAGACTCAAAATTTGTAACTTTTTCACGCCCCCATTTCCCTGTCCAAAGAGGACATCATAAAGTATATAACCCCAAACGAGAAAAAGACACTAACCATCTCTAATAGCATCCTCAAGAATGGTTCCCCAGGGTGCAGGCAGAGAGTATGCTATATTTCTTTTCATTAAGTAGAAAGGTGTTGAAGACCCTTGGTAGTTTGCTCACAAGGTGCATTCTGAATATTATCAGGCCCGCTCTATCAGTCACCCTGTGGAGGAAGCGTGTCTGATGAGGGGACAGTGAGCCGGGCCCAGGGTTCTGTTGCCAGCATCGGAAATGACATGATGAGGCTTGCCTTTGTGCAGAATTGAAAGCAGTTGTGTTGTGAGGTTAGGGAGTGTTGATAAGGGAATTAGGGGGAATGTGGTTGCCACTTAAACTTTGCTTGTTTTTCCTGGATGAATTTTATCCAATAGCAAAAAGAAATTTTTCAAACCTTTTACCCACCCACAGATTTTCATGAAAATGTTACTGACCAAAGACAGTTTTGAATTTTGTATGACTTGACTCATTTCTCCACAGGCATTTTGCCTGGCAAAATTTAGAGTACTGTATTTTCGTTGGCTTCACTGTGGGGCAGTTTGCTTTTTAAGTAAAATTGGATTATGAACACAAGAAAACAGAACTGGGGACGTGTCCTCATTCTTCTTTTATGGCCTAATATAGGGGTTCGTGAGCCAGCTTTAGCCATGTAGGTTATTTCTTGAGGAAAAGTAAACTCATTGTAGACTGAGAAAAGCCTTCTTTCTACATTTTTTATTTTGTTATTTTAGGGCTTGGCATAGATGTGATGGCCGGTTACATGACCAGAAGGGACCTTAGGAAAATATCATTTAACATAGCAGTTATTTAACACCTCAAAACCCTCAGATTGGTGAAATGAGTAAAATTTGATAGTATCAAATGTTGATAAGGACATGGAGAAGAGGGACTGTTAACATTGCAGGGGAAGAGTACATTGGTATAAGGAATTTGGAGGAAACAGATACTTAGTTAGGTGAAAGATGAACATAACCAATCAAAGCAGAGTCAGGATGTCTCCTCTGAAGACTGGCAATAGGGTGGTAGAAACCCAAGAAAAGATGTTTAATCTATGTTTTTTTTTAAAGTATAAATAATCTATTCATAAATAAGACCAATCAATCAACTTGGTTATTCTTATTAAAGTAATATAAAGGAAGGTAAAATAAATGAAATTCATAAATATATCAGCAGAGATACAAAGAAAATATTCAGTGAACATCGAATATAAAAGAGGATATATACAGTGTAATATAATTTATGTACGTTTAAACACACAGAGAAGTATTATATAATTGCTGTAAGTAAACAATTATGTAGTTGAACAGCAAAGTTATGTGGGCATGGTAACCAGCAACCTTAGGAGAGAAATATGCTAGAGAGGAAAGAAGGATGTGGAAATTTTACCGTATCTTCTTTCCAAAGAAAGAGAACAGAAATAAATACAGCAAATACTAATTTGTAAATTGGAGATGCTAATATAGATGCCATATGTATCCATTATAATATTCTACATACTTTGCTGTCTGTTTGGAATGTTTCATAACTGTATTTTTATACATAAAGTGAAAGAAAATTAATATAACACTTTTTGTTTCACGTGTACCATTTTCAGATGAGAATAAAGCCTA